CAATTTACTTTCGGTCTGGTGACTATATTCATTTATTTTGGGGTCTTTCTACGTAGCCCAAGGCAGCCTAAAACTTTACAATCCTCCTACCTCTGCCTCCTGATTACTGGGATTACAAGCATGAACCACCATGCCTAGCTACTTTTAAAACTCAAGATCTCAACAGGCCGCCTAAAATGGCTGCTTTTAGTTTGGAGATATATATATATATATATATATATATATATATATATCTCCCTAGTGATAAAGTGAACTATTATGGCAGATCCTTCCTAGATATTCATAGATGGCCAACCAACTGGATTAAATCAGTTTTGAATGATTTAAAATTTGAGGACTTCTTGAGAACGTCCCATGCTCAGTGCTTCTGCCACTTATTTTGCTTCCCATTATCGAACATGTTATATATCAGCCTTTATGAATATGTCAACTCTGTCCATTAAAGCATAAGCTTAAGAACAAAAGGAAAAAAATCATATGCCTCTTACGTAGTGCTGTCCACATGGGTAGTTTCATCCAACTGCATAAATATGTAGCACTGCATTCTGAAGACAGCTGCTTTGGACTGGTAACTTACCTAAATTGTCTAACATTGAGGCAAGAGAAGATTGGAGAACAGATATCTTCATCCTTTCAGAGAGTAGTTCAAGTCAGCCCTGCGATAGCAGTTAAGAGGTATAATTATGTAGGGACAGAGCAGCCTCAGTTCTTGTCTAGCAAACTAAGTTTGCTGTCTATCAAGGCCTCTTGTGTCTGTTTTGTGCCAATGGCATGAAGAGGAAGTAGCTGAATACATGATTAGCTTCTTGAGAGTACTGTTGCTAAATCCAAGCAAAGAATGAGGAGGTTTATAGTTGAGTTTTTACTCTATAATTCAAATGCCAATCTAGCCATGAAATGTGCTCTAGGAATCCAATCAGAGATTTTTATCATGACTTGGAAACCAGCTGTGCTCTTACTGAGTACAAATAAACCACATGCAAGTGCTATAATTCAGCAATTATGGAGACATAAAAAACCTGAATAAAAACTTCAGTTATTTCAATGCAATTAGAACTATGCTTTAAGAAATTCTAGGGACCAGAGTGATAGCTCAGTAGAATACGTGCTTCCCTGTCAAGCACAAGGGCCTGAGTTCAATCCCTGGTTCTGAAAAAAAAAAAAATAAGAAAGAAATTCTGCTTCTTTGAACACATATAAAAATGACTCTAATTTTTAAAAAGTAATATGGAATCAAAGGTTAAAAACCCTCAAGCTCAAGAATTCAAATTTAACTAAATAAAAGTATGCTTTAAAATAGTAAGTTAAAGTCTGGGCATGGTGGGACACACCTGTAATCTCAGCACTGGGGAGGCTGAAAATAGAAGGATCACTGTAAGCCCAAGTTGCACAGTGAGACCCTGTACCAAATACATAAAAGGGAAGGAAGCATAAGTTAAAAGTTATTACAATTTGGTAAGGGCTATGAACTTAAAATACTCACATCATTAAAATGTACCTTCTCCTATTGAGTGTGGTGGCATATGCTTACAATCCTAGCACTCAGGAGGCTAAAGCAAGAGGACTACCTCAATTCAAGGCCTATCTGAACTATGTGATGAGTTCAGGGTCAGTCTAAACTACAGAGCAAGACTATCTCAACTCCCCAACCCCAAATAAAAATTAAAAATGTAATGTGCCTTGTAGGTAGCTGAGAAGTGGAAATACAACAGTTATGATTTGAATCCAGATGTCTCCTGAAAGCCTCATGCACTCATGGGTGACTTTTGTGAGGTGACTGGATTGTGGGTGATACTAAGATTAAAGGTATGTGATGAATAAATTGATTTATAGTTCTGGGTATGGATAACAGAACCCCAACTCTGGGTGTGGATGACACCAATCAATAGGCTTGTGGACTGCATGAAATATAAAGGGACTGCAAAAAAGCAGAGTTACTGCCCACTGCTTCCCTTGAAGTGTTTATCTTGTGCCATGCTGCCCTGCCTTGGAGCCAGCTGACTATAGACTGAAACCCCTAAACACAAAATCCTTCCGTCTTTCACTTGTAGTGGATGATTGTGTATTTTGTCCCAGAAATGAGAAAGTTACCAACACAACGCCAAAAGAACAACTCTACTTGTGTTCCAGTAAACTTGTGGCAGCAATTCTAAACCAATATTTGTAAAGAAATTAACAATTACTGGGTAATTGTGAACTTACATATCAAAGCCTTTCAGTCATATTTTAAAAAATGTTTGTAACAGGACAATCTTAGAAAACCCAGTGCATATGGACCTTATATCAATGAGCCCCCACTTCTCTCATTTGCTCTTGTTCTTCCCACACATGGGATACAGCTGGCTTTGTAGAAAACTGAAGCAATAAAATTTTGTCACTTATATCATCACCTGAGTACCTAGATACCACCCTAGGAAAGCCAAGCAAGGTATTTTCTAAATAATGGTTTCAGTGGACCTTTTGTAACCATATATGAAAGCATTTCACACATGAAATCTCTGCATGAACTATCAAGCAGAGAGCTTCAACAAGCTTCCTGACTTGAGATATGTAGGAAATACAGCACCAATACAGAGCTACAACTTTTATTAGCACTTTAAAATGAACCACTAACCCAGTCCTAGCCCAGGCCCGGTGAGTGTGTGGGAGAGCTTCCCACAACCTGCACCATCAGGACCTACTACTGGTCCCAGCCCAGACGCAGCATGGGTGAGACCCTCTTCCACCCCTTTGGGACGCCCCCCACCACTCCTCAGCAATGCCCCCACCC